GAATAAGAGAACACATACTCAGGAAGTCTAAGTGTGTGTGTACTACGCAGTATTTGCTGAATACCTTGACGAGGCTGCGGAGAATAGACGGGATAGGGGATAGGAGGGACACATATTGCACCCTACCCCCCCCCCCTCTCGCCTCAGGGCGAGAAGCAGCAGTTGCTGCTGCGAAGCGGCTACGCTGGGCGAGAGGCGCGGCGCGGAGCAGTACGGGACAGACGGAGCCCCTGCGGTCCCGTGATAGGCAACCCGCCGCGCTGCCGCGTTCGCCTCCCGGGTGGGTGGCCTACCCGCCTCAGTGGCAGGGGGGCGACCCGGGTCGGGGGCGGCGGCGGCCTGGGGGCGGGGCCTGGCGCACTGGGGAGGGGAGAGCCAAGCGAGGTGGGGGAAGGGGGGGGAGGGAATGCCCAGGAGGTGCTTCGTTACGTTACAGGTACGCGTCCCCGCGCAGCTGCCATCATAGGAACACTGTTAAATTCCTGCAAATAAGCAATGCAACTGCGTTACTTTGCGTTTTGTGCGACGTTGTGCTCTATCGTCTGCCCCTTCGCCCCTTCACTGGTAAACTCCTTCAAAGCAATGCTTTGCAGAACTGCGACGTATTTAGATCCTTTGTAACCACAAAGCATTTGATTTGTAGTTACAAAAGTGATTCTGTGCAGTTGCGAAGCAATGAAACACACTGCAAAGCATCACGTTGTCGTTGCAAAGTAAATCCTTCGTAGTTACACAGTATCTTAACACTTCGCAGTTCTGCAAAGCATTGTTTTGAAGGAGTTTAACAGTGAAGGGGCGAAGGGGCAGACGATAGAGCACAACGTCGCACAAAACGCAAAGTAACGCTACATCGACACAATTGACCCAAACGGGGACAGCGCCGAAGGAGGGTGCGGGCAGGCAGCATCCTGGCCTACATCACGACGAGCTCGGAGACGAGGACGAGGGTGGGTAATCGCTGGCAGTTAACTCTCTGTCAGTCGGCAGTCGGCCGGGCCGGGTCGGTTCGTCCGTTCGTGTCGTCGGGCGCGGGCGTTAAGGGCGGCTCGGCTCGGAGACGACCGTGTGGCCCTTCGGATAAGCGTTTAAGGGCAATAAATGGCTCTTTAGTGGCACACCGCTACCGACGCGCCGCCACTGCTCCGGCAGCCATGTCCCCGCCACACCAGAAAGCGGCCAATTTCTATCTTTTTAGTATGGAAAAGAAACAAAATCTGTTTGAAAAAAAAAATCTAACGACTGTGATGTGTGATAATATGTACGCGACAAGTATCAGGTGATAAAATGCATTGCACAACTGCAGTAAACAAATTCACTCGACAAATCCACTGCAAAACTGCACTAAACAAATTCACTCAACAAATGCACTGCACAACTGCACTAAACAAATTCACTCGACAAATCCACTGCAAAACTGCACTAAACAAATTCACTCAACAAATGCACTGCACAACTGCACTAAACAAATTCACTCAACAAATCCACTGCAAAACTGCACTAAACAAATTCACTCAACAAATGCACTGCACAACTGAACTCCGCGCAAGTGAACTGATCAAATGCATTACATACAACCGGCACTGCATACTGCACTGAACAAATGCACTGCACACCCTCGCGGCAGCAGAGAGGCGGACGCGGAATCCAGTCGTCATCAAACACATCGAACTTTATATATCGCCCACGCGCGCACGATAGCTGTCGGACCGTGGGGCGAGTGAGCGAGCGAGTGACTGAGTGAGTGTGAGTGACTGAGAAACAGAGAGATAAAAAGTTTTAGCGCAACGTGCCCGCCCGGCCGCTGGCAAGCCTTCCTCCACCTCCCGCTTCCCCCCCAACACACTGACACTTGGAAAGCACACACACCGCAGTACCGCCAAACAGGGGCGCGCACCCCTCCCTTCCCCCCACCCTCTTCCCTTTCCAGACGTCCCCTACAATCTCTTTTTACTGTCGTTTTTACGGTTAGACTTGGCTTTAAGGAGCCTAGCCGTTGCAGAGAGCCAGGGGCCCGCAGTGTGCCGTGCACGCCCGGCGCAGCACCCCGTCCGCCCACCCGCCCCGCCCCGCCCCGCCTGCAGCCCATCAAAATAAAGAGACGGCCTCATACCGACCGGCGCGCAGGGCGCAGCAGCGCAGAGGTCAGGCAGGGAGCCCCCCGACACGCACTGACCATCCCGTAACCCGGGCCTGCGAACACCCTGATGGAACACCTTACACCTGTACGCCCGGACCTTGCGAACACCTGATGGAACATCTTGTGCATTTACACCAGAGACCCGTCTCCTGCTGCCATTTACACGAGAATGATTTAAGGTTGTGCGTTTAGTGAGTGTGTTGCATTAAATGCTGACAAGTTGTGGCTCATTTTTGGTGCCTATGATTTAACAGGGGAGTGTGACCTCATAGTGGTCACGCCGCAAGGAAGGTGTTGTAATGATCCGTTTCTTTATTAGTTTCACTCTCATCCTGTTACTGATTTTTTTCAGCTTTTGTCAGTATTCCTGCTGCGCAAAAACCTTTATAAGCGACTGACAACTGCTTTCATCAGTAATACGAAATAATTTCTTTTTTAATTACTGACACTTTTTTCTTTTATCAGTGAGCTACTTACAACGATATCCATAATAAGTAACAAATTAGTCAGTAATCCTGCTGCATAAAAACCTTTATAAGCTACTAATAAATAAATCAGTACAGGTCTGAGAGTGTTGTTTACTCAAAACTTGACGTTATCTTTTTCGCATAGTCTTGGTTTGCTCCCGTTTTAGAAAAAAGGAAAGAGATTGTACTACCCAAGTGCACTCAATCCCTCTCTGGCTCCGCAATCCGAAAGGGGATAAAAACGGGAGAAGCGGGAGGAGCATTTGGATGAGGGGAGGGGGGGGGGCGGAAAGGGGAAGTGCAAAACTAAGGAGAAAAGAAAGAGGGAGGGGTGAGGGTGAAAAGGGGACGAAGGGCTGATTACGATGCAGTAAATGTCAAACACGGGCCCCCATTGCAATTTACTGCAGCTGCCGCTGCAACCAGCGCTGCAGTCACAGTCGCAGGTGGGGTGCAGCGGTGCTGCAGCTGCAGCGGCCATACCATGATTAGCAGACAAGTTAAAAAGGAGAATAGTGTGGGCCGAATAACGTAAAGATGAAATTTTCTGCAACTTCCATATATGGCTTAGAAGTCTGAATTTTCATCACAAAATATATTTTCATGCCACTCATCTCACTCTAGTGTCACTCACATTCAAAAGGGTAGCTTAGTGCGCCCTCAGCAGGACTGCCCCCCACCGCGCGGGAACGCCCATGCAAGACCACATGTCCTCTCCTCCCGCCCCATTCCAAGAGATCGTTCACAATCGACATTTCTCTCCCCTCCTCTGTTCCCAATAAAATTTTGTCGATGTTGTTTCGCGCGGTGAAGCAGGGAGGCAGCGAGTAGTTGTTTCCGTCAAGTGCCCGAAGCTCGCCTGTTCTGCTCCAATTACTGGTCCGACACATTCTGTCCAGCCACCCAGGTTCAGGCGCCCCTT